GGGCCACATTAACAGCTTTAACCTGGAGCCACCGCAATATGCTCATAGCTGAGAGGCTGGATACACAAACAACACAACAACAACACAAACAACACAACAACACAACATGCTCACAGCTAAGAGGCTGGACACACAACAACTTAAACAATCTATAGTTCAGTCTTCATTAATGTCACAGACTTTTATCAGAGGCAGGTCTCTGTCTCTAACTCCCTCTGTTTGATAGTAGTCGTTAGTATGAATCCTCGTTAGCAATGACTTCTCTCTCTCCTGCTCTCTCTGTCTTATGATTAGTTATTCCTCTGCCTCCTTTAGTAATAATGACACATGGAATCAAAGTAGTTTATTTGCTGTAATGGAGGCGAGGCTCAGTGTATTGGAAGTGCTCCCCCTCTTCCCTGCAGTTCCTGAGCAGCTGGGAAACCAGAGACTGAAATATCATCAGTCAGTCAGTCAGTCAGTCAGGAGATTATAGAGCTGGCCCTGCTGTTTCAGTCCAGCCATAAAATTGTATTAACTTTTTGAACAGCAGAAAACTTGACTCCTGATTTTTAATGTGAAAGTTTAATATAAAAACAACACATCTGGAGTTCGGGCCTGAACTTGTGTCACCTCTGATTCTTCATCTGAAAATACCCCCCAGAAAAAAACCTTTTAAAGAATTGGACGTGTTTCTTCAGTAGCAGTAAGTCTGGACTGAATCTAATGAGTTGATGTACAGTACCTGTTCTGTTGCAGGGGTCAGTTGCACCAACAGCACTGAAGCTTCAATCCAATTTCAACATTGAGACAACAGTCAGCTCCAATCCCTCCAAACACAAACAACTGCTGCTCATCTCTGCAGGACGCTGCTTTTATTTACTGACAGCCACACAGAGCACAACAACAGCTCTTCATCTTCAGGTGATGAGCAGAGAATCATCAGCTCTTTGTTTGTCTGTCTGGACACCACATCTGTTCTCAGAGAAACATCTGTAAACAGCCTCTGTCCTCCACAAACAGCTGACGGTACATAGCAAAGTAGTAAAGAGCATCAGATGTTTCCCTCAGGAGCTGGTGGAGACAAGCTCAGAGGTAAAAGAGTGGGAACTGGACTGAGATTCAGCGACGGGATCCCTGAGACTGAAAGTGAAAGGTGTTCAGAATCAGAGACATGTCAGACTGGTCTGTCTTGTTGGTCCAGTCATAGATCAGTCTGATGTCAGTCAGAAAAATAAACACAGACTCATTTTAAGCCAGAAAACATGTCATATCTTACCACCAGGCTAACTCCGGCCTAACACCAATGTTACCATGGTAACAATCAGTGACACCTGCGCTGAGCAGCAGCACCCAACATCAAGAAACAGGAAAACCTGGCTCATGATTTGTGCTTTGCCAACATTGTTATGGAGAGAGTGAAGAGAAGAGAAAGAGGTTTTAGAGACCGGAGTGATTTTATTTTTTTCCAAATTAGATTTTTCTTTTTATATTTTCACTCTTCTCTGAATTTTCTAAATAAAGTAAAACATTTAAAACGTCGTTGTAACTGCTGAATTCTTCTAAAGACGTCGGCCACGTGAAAGGACGGGACTGTTTCTGTTAAAAGCTGCGGACATGTCTGTGTGTTCACTCACGTTCCTGCTGAAAACTAGTAGAAGAAAAAATCAAATCACGATTCCAGAGATACAAAATATATTGGGCTGAATTTACAGTTATCAAATGAAATCTGCATCAGTCTGATCTGAATGTTGGTTGTCTGCCTGAGGACCTGAGGTTTTGGGAGTCTAATCGTGGCCCCCGTCCCCGTCCTGGTCTGCGCTGGTCTGTCCTGGTCTGCCCTTCACTTCCTCAGTAATCCTGTTAGCAGAGTTTCCGTGTAATCCTCCCTCAGTGTTCAGATCCCTCAGGTCTTCACAGCCTCCTCGCCGCCGCTCTGTGGGATGCTGCTGGACCCCGACTGAACAACTCAGGTAGGACCAGAGACCCCCGACAGACAGACCACACCTACCCACACCTGCACCACATCCTGAAACACACCTGCACGCACTGCACAGCGGAGTGGAGACTGAATTCTTTAGCTTGGATTGTTTGAAATGTGCCGTGAGAGGATTGTATTTTTTCTGTTTTTAGAGACAGACATGAAAGTGTTGACTGGAATCAGACGATGTGATCTGTAATGTTTCTTAGGTAAATCGTGGTTTGATGAGTTTGAAAAGATGAGCCAACCAGAGTGTGACACAACAGATAGCAGGGTTTCAGTCTCAGTAATGATCCCGGCTGATCAGCTGCTGTCGGTGCCTTTAAGACCTGCTGACCCAGACTCATCAGTCTGGTGTTGGTGGTGGTCTGAACGAGGCGTTAACAGCCTCAGGTGCATGAAACACTGGGTTCTTTAAAGTTTGTGATGTTTTCTGGTGTTAGCTTCAGTAGAAGCTTCAGTAGAAGCTAACACCAGTGTGTTGATTCAGACCAGCAAAGACCTGGACTCATGTCAGACCTGTGACCCCTGAGGGTCTTCGTGACCTTCTTTAAGGACAGTGTGTGACATATGTTGTACAGATTATTCATTTGTGATTTCAGGCCACATGAGTAAGAAAGACCAAGTCACATGGTTCAACTCCGCGTGCCGGCACTGGCCCAGAGGAGGCCAGAGTGCTACTAACTGGAGTTAGTCCATATTATAAAATCTAACCGAGTCTGGCAGCCGGATATGGGCCAGAGCTGGCTCCTCCGCCACTGGAACACAGCCGAGTGTGCCGGAACTCAGCCGCAATCGGCCCGACCAAACCGAGCTACGTCATTATCTGATTTTAATAAACTGAAAGTCGCAGCTCTGTTAACTGACTGGTTAACTGGTTAATGACTAACCAGCTAACTGGCCAAAGAACTGACAAGCTAACTTGTTAACTTATTGGCTAACTAGTTGATTAACCCACCGGCAAGCTAACTATCTGACTGACTTATCAACTGGTTGACAGGTTAACTGTTTGATTTGCTAACTGGTTAACAGGCTGACCGGTTGGTGACTAACCAACGTGTTAACTGGCTGACTGATTCATTTGCACATCTCTTGTTCCTCTCTGTCGTCATTCAGAATGATTTTTATTCTATTTTATTTTCTAATATTTATTTTTAATTAGTGCCATTATTATTCTAATCTATCTGTCTATCTATCTATCTATCTATCTATCTATCTATCTATCTATCTATCTATCTATCTATCTATCTATCTATCTATCTATCTATCTATCTATCTATCTATCTATCTATCTATCTATCTATCTATCTATCTATCTATCTATCTATCTATCTATCTATCTATCTATCTATCTATCTATCTATCTATCTATCTATCTATCTATCTATCTATCTATCTATCTATCTATCTATCTATCTATCTATCTATCTATCTATCTATCTATCTATCTATCTATCTATCTATCTATCTATCTATCTATCTATCTATCTATCTATCTATCTATCTATCTATCTATCTATCTATCTATCTATCTATCTATCTATCTATCTATCTATCTATCTATCTATCTATCTATCTATCTATCTATCTATCTATCTATCTATCTATCTATCTATCTATCTATCTATCTATCTATCTATCTATCTATCTATCTATCATCTATCTATCATCTATCTGACTGATCATTAACTGGTTACTTAATTGACTGGTTGCCTTTAAAACAGGCTAATTGGCTAACACGCTAACTGGAAAGTGTAAGTGCTGAACTGGGCACCATTAGAAACGTGTGTGTGGATGTGCAGCTGCTTTCTGCTGCCAGACCTCCTGTGGAGGATTAGGGTCATGATCAGTCAGCTGTAATTGAGGCTGACACTCAGCCAGACCTGATCTAAACACCATTAACAGAGTACAGAGAGAAGAGGGTCAGTGAAACGCAGGAGACACACTTCATTATTTCAGCTTTTATTAGTTTATTAATCAAGTCGACAGAAATCTTTGGTTTACAATGTGAAGTCTCAAGTTTTGTTTTCATGAACAATATTTCATTTTAAACTTCCTAAAGATTCAACATATGATCTCACCACAGACACTGTGTGTAACATTTCTGCACATTTATATCTGTGTCTTGTTTTAGAATATTTCACTCAGTGTCAATAATGAAGAAATCCTCATATTGTTTTGATGCTTTTGGCAGAACAAACTCACCACAAGATCAATTTGTTGCTGCTCTGGAGCTTTCACTCTCACAACATGATCTTCCTCACGAGAAGTTCACATTTCTTTTTTTCTGAGCTGTGACGCCTCATCCACATGTTTCTATAGTTACTGTGCTGAGAGAAAGAAAGGAAGCGAAAGAGAGATAGGGAGAGAAAGAGAAAGAAAGAAAGAAAAAGAAAGAACGAGAGAAAGAAAGAAAGAAAGAAAGAAAGAAAGAAAGAAAGAAAGAAAGAAAGAAAAAAAGACAGAAAGAGAGAAAGAAAGAAAGAAAGAGAGAAAAAAATACAGAAAGAAAGAAAGAAAGAAAGAAAGAAAGAAAGAAAGAAAGAGAGAGAGAAAGAAAGAAAGAAAGAAAGAAATACAGAATGGAAACAGAGCTATACTAATTGGTCCAGTCTGTTGTCTGACGGCTTCATGTTTAAATGTCTGTGTTTTAATGGAGGATGTTGAGCTGGGTGGTGAAAGTCGTTCCCCAGCTGCCTGAACCTCCGTCCAAAAAAGATGAAGAGAAGAAGGAGCCAGCCGCAGCCCCGCCCCCTGTTGCGGCCCCACCCCCTGTCGCAGCCCCGCCCCCTGTTGCAGCCCCACCCCCTGTTCAAGTAAGCCATGCCTTTTTAAAAATGTTTTGATTGACAGCTGCACAAGCTAATTAAAGTTATCAGACATATATATAGATATATATACATATATAGATATATATACATATCTATACATATATAAATATATATGTATAGATATGTATATGTTTAACCTAAATAAATAAATGAATGCTAAATGAAATATTGTTTTATTTATATAAATTATTCTGTGTTTTCAACAGGAAAAGAAAGTGACGTTTCAGGACGAGGTTAAAAATGAAGGTGAGGTCCCCCTGTAACTTCCTGTGGGTCAGATTGGTTCTGTTCTTCACACTGAAAATATTCTGCTGTTTGATTGACAGCTCCAAAAACTCCAAAAGCTGACAAACCCAAAAAGGAAGCAGCCGAGGTCGAGGGGAACAGGTGAGTTACACTGACGTCCACAGAGACACCACACAGGAAACGACCAGAGACAAGGTTAGCATTAGCATCACAAAACCAGCTAGCTTACCAACTGCCAACCAGGATGCTAACAAGCTCAGTCGCTAATGTGTGCTGGTCTGGATCACTTGACCAAAGAAACAAACAGCACCTTTACTTTTTCTCCCTTATTCTCCACACTTTGTCCACTTCACAACAACACTTCCTGTCTCTGAGTCACATGTCACTAAATGAACCAATCAGAGGCTAGCAGGACTTAGACTGAGCTAAATAGGAGGAAAACGACAGAGATGGATTCAGGAGGTCACTGTGACTGTTTTTAAAGATGCAGTTGTAAATATTTAAACTTGTAAACACCTAAATAATAATTGTGTAAACATAAATATGTAAATAGTTAACTGTGTGAACAAATGAATAAATTATTAACTGTATAAACTAACTCAAATATACAGTATGAATTAATGGCTGCAGGAAGATGAATTAAATAATACTTAGATAATTAGATAATAATTGCATATATATAATAATAATATAATATATAATAATTAAACATGATGAATTAACTAAATCAACATTAACGTCTTGTTTCCTCAGCCCGCCATCCGGCTCTCAGCCCACCATGTTGACGTGGATCAGCGGAGCTCTGCCTCAACCTCTCTCACCTAAACTGAGCCGGGCCAACTCCACCACCCAGGTGAGGATCAGACTCTGACCTGGGATCAGGTTCGACCGCAGAGACTCGTCCAGGGTTCAGGTCACAGTTCAGCAGGTTAATGTGTCTTTTCTCCTCACATGTTTACAGGAGGAGAATACAACAGCCAGGTAAATACAGTGTGTGTGTGCGTGTGTGTGTGTGTGTGTTGTGCGTGTGTGTGTTGTGTGTGCTGTGTGTGTTGTTGTGTGGTGTTGTGTCTCTGTGCTGTGTCTGTGCTGTGTGTGTGGTGGTGTGTGTTGGTGGTGTGTCGTGTGTGTCTGTGTCTGTGTCTAGTGATCTGTGTGTGTGTGTGTGTGTGTGTGTGTGAGTGTGTTGAACATTCACTGTAAAGTTTGTATGAACTTCATGTGATGACTGATATTCCCTCTGTTTCCTGTGGACGACAGTAAACCTGAAGACGAGTGAGTAACAATGACATGAAGCAATAAATGCCAAATAGTGAGCTGCTTTATAAACCTATCAACAGACAGACTGCCAAATAGTGAGCTGCTTTAATAAACCTACCAACATGCAGATTGCCAAATAGTGAGCTGCTTTAATAAACCTACCAACAGACAGACTGCCAAATAGTGAACTGCTTTAATAAATCTACCAACAGGCAGATTGCCAAAGTGAGTTGCTTCATAAACCTATCAACAGCCAGATTGCCAAATAGTGAGCTACTCTGTAAACCTATCAACAGACAGACTGCCAAATAGTGAGCTATTATGTAAACCTATCAACAGACAGACTGCCAAATAGTGAGCTGCTTTATAAACCTATCAACAAGCAGACTGAGAAATAGTGAGCTGCTTTATAAACCTATCAACAGACAGACTGCCAAATAGTGAACTATTATGTAAACCTATCAAGACAGATTGCCAAATAGTGAGCTGCTTTATAAACCTATCGACAGGCAGATTGCCAAATAGTGAGCTACTCTATAAACCTACCAACGGGCAGACTGCCAAATAACAAGCTGCTTAATAAATCCACCAACAGGCAGACAGCCAAATAGTGATCTGCCCTATAAACCAATTGAAGCAGGTGCGAAATTATGATCTGCTTTACGAACCTATCAACATGAGGACTGCCAAATAGTGAGCTGCTTAATAAATCCACAAACAGGCAGACTGTCTCTCCATGTTTACTTCATGGAAACTAAGGAAAACAGATGTTTTTGCCTTTAGAGGTTTTATCAGTGTTGTTTCATCAGACAACACTTCCCTCTAAAAATGCAGATGGTTTGTCTTTTCCTTATTTTCATGTCAGGAACAAGTGATGAATAAAAAAAGAATAAACATAAAAACTCCCATTTTTAAAAGCGTCAGTGAACATCTCAATTGATCGACTCTCACCGGTCAGAAAACTTCCTGTATCAAACTCCATTCAGCCCAGCAGAGCAGTGAAGCTCCTGACTGTCCCTGTTCTCCTGGTTGTGCAGCGCCCCCTGCTGTTCAGAGCCTGACTTCATGCTTCCTGTTATTTTTCCCCACAGGAAAGGGATGATCGCTTGGCTCACTCAGGGTTTGGAGAAAGTAGTTCCTCATCCTCAGGCTGAGCTGAAGAGTAAAGAGTCACCACCAGCTGAGCCGCCCGCTGAGGTACAACAGTTTCTACAGGACGTCCTAAAGTAGATTAAAACTTTCCTTTGGTTTCAGTAGAGCTGATCGTTCTACTGTCAGTTCTCAGAGTACGTTTCCACGGAGGATCTCTGTCACCGCTCCTCATTAAACAGCTGAAACATGGTGATTTAGTTATTTGGGCATATTATTCTTTTATAGAGATATTTATAGGTGCCGTCCTCCTCCATTAAAACCCAGTGTACTAAATGAGGTGTTATCTTTTATGACAAATTTCATTTTGACTTGTCAGATGTAATATTTCCAAAGTTAGATCATTTTTATCTGCAAAGACCTTGGAAACTGCCGTCCATGTTTTTATTTTCTCAATAAATCCAATTAAAGAATCCACATATCATCAACGTTAGCATCTCTGCACTGGATACCTGAACGTCTTAGAACTGGTTTTAAGACCATTACGTTTAAGGTAGATTTGGGTCGTGTATATATCCGATACCTGTTTACATCTCCGACATGCTAATCCCATAGGAGCCTGAATGCAGCATGAGATCAGACGTGATGCAGGCTTGATTCATACTCATGAAGATAAAAGTGAAAAGTTAAACTTAACCTGTAATGAGTTTGTGACGTGGCCTTTCTGTTAGTGTGTGTCGTCTCAGGTCCAGTCCTGAAGTTACTCTGTTAGAGAAGCTGTTTAAACTGTTTCCACAGGCTGACAGTGAAGTATGAAATCTGTGTAATGCTCCTTTAATGTCAGTCTTAGAGATCTGCTCATGTGACCTCACCTGTCCTTATTAACCCTGTGTTTGTTGCTCCTCAGGTGCAGCAGCCAGCCGCTCCACCAGGTGAGAACAGATCTGAATGTTCCTGTGAACAGAGATCAGATTCAGGCCGGACTTTATGTCAATCGCTGGTTCTTCTTTGTCTTTCAGCACCAGAGCCTCAGGTGGTCACTGTGGTCCAGGTGGCACCAGAACCAGACCGGGGCCAAGACAAAGACCAAGACCAAAACCAAGAGGACAAAACTGACAACAAGCCTTTCCCACCCAGGTCTGTGTGTCTGTCTTCACACAGGCTGACATTCAGTTTGTTTGACCAGTATTACATCTTTTGGTCCAGGAGGAACAACCTTTGAAACTTCTTTTATTAAGTTTAATACAGAAAATATTTGTCACATCTTTTGTCAAACTGTTGTTCAGGTGGAGTTCAGGTGGATATTATCTCCCAGCAGGAACGAGGGGAATAAACTGAGAATCTGACGTTTGCATGTGGAGCAGTGAAGTCATTGCTTCAGCCAAGTGCATGTGTGACACGAATATGTTCTGTCTTTGTGTCTGTGCGGCTGACAGGATGATGGACTGGATAAAACAGGGAATAGAGAAGGTGGTTCCTCAGCCAGAGATCCAGGTCCGTCCAAAGACAGACGACAACGAGAAGAGTGACACTCCCGCTTCCACTAAAGGTACCTGCAGTTATATGTCAGCCTCAAATCACCATCACACCTGTTGAACTCCTGTTAGAGAATATATATAACTCTGAGTGCGTCCTACTCCTTTAAACAGCTGCAGCTCCACCTGCAGCACCAGCAGCTACTAAACCAGCCGCCGACCCTGAGAAGTAAGTTCAGTCCTTGTCCGTGATTGTACTTTAATTCATAGTGCAGGATGTTAAACTCTGTTCTCCTTCGTCCTCTCAGGTCTTCTAAAGAAGCAGAGCAGCAGCCCAAGTAGGTGGAGACATGTTCACTCAACATGACAGAAGAGCTGCGATTCTTCATCCTTTAATTTAAAAACCACAGAAACTGTTTGTGGATATTTGACCTTTAGCTACAAACAACACGTCTGACGTGCTAATTAATGTTATGCTAACTACAAACAGCTAAAGTGGTGGAAAGTAACTAAGTACATTTACTCATATACTAAGAACAATTTTGAAGTTCTTGTACTCTACTTGAGTTAAGTACTTCTACTGTGATACTGCAACTACAGGAAGTACTTTTACTGTGATATTTTAACTACAGGAAGTACTTTTACTGTGATACTGTAACTACAGGAAGTACTTTCACTGTGATACTTCAACTACATGAAGAACTTTAACTGTGATACTGTAACTACAGGAAGTACTTCCACAACAGGAAGTACTTTCACTCTGATACCGTAACTACAGGAAATACTTCCGCACTGTGATACTTTAAGTACATTTACAGAGGTAAACATACTACCTCTGTACTTTTACCTCAGTGGGATCATGAATGTAGTACTTTCACTGCAGTATTATTGCAGTATGTTTACATGGTGGTGTTTGTATCAGATATTTTACTAGCTCCATACATTGTGTCTGATATGAAGGATAAAAGTTTAGGAGTTTTAGAGAGTGTGTGACTTGTGTTGAACGTGCTGCTGTTGTGTCGACAGTGTTGTGGGCTGGATCGTCACTGAGTTCAGTCGCATGTTACCTCAGCCTGTACCAAAGGTGAGTCCAGCTCTCATTCACATACAGCCACGTTTAACCAGCAGCACGTGTCTGAGGCTTGACCATGTTTGTTCTCCTCGTGCAGGACGCAGCCAGTGATGAGTTGCAGAGCAGTAAGTACAACCTCTCCACAGCTTACACTAACACATGAACACATGAACACATGAACACGTCAACACATGAACACGTCAACATGTCAACATGTGAGCGTAACATTACATGATACTTTAAACTTCTCACCTTGATGCAGTGATGTAGAAGTGAACTCCCAGGTGTGTCAGTACACGGTGACATCACTGCTGGGTGTGGTTATGAGTTACTCTCTAACTGCAGTCTGCAGAAACAAATGCACTGATGAACTGATTGATTGGTTGAGGGGTGTTATTAGCTGTGTGTTGATTGGCAGCAGCTGGTGTCAGTGATGAGGCGGACTCTAACCGGGCTGCTCTTCTCCTTCTGTTTCAGGGGGAAAGGCGGCGAGAGCCCCTTAAAATAAAAGGAGAAGGAAGAGCGGGACAGAGTCGCTCACACTGACACTGACAGCAGCAGACACTGTAACTGACTGAACCACAGACAGAGCAGTTTGTACTGTAGTGCTAATGTTGCTCCATGGAGCTGCAGTACTTTGAGTTTTTTCACAGCTAAAATACTTTCAATAAATCAAGAAAACTTATTTTACCAAACATGACTGAGCAAACAAAACGAAAAGTGAAATCTCAATTATATTTCTGCACATATTTGAACATGTTTAGAGTCTCTGTAACTCACTGAATCAATTATTACATGCCACTAAGTCTTTATTGGACTGCACTGTTTAATATTCCATGCTACAGTGTAATAGCTGCAGGAACAGACTGGTCCTAACTCAGCTTCTGTCATTGGTGCTACTTCAAACTTGAAACTCAAATAAGCTGTTAGATCTGGAATCAGGACCAACAATAGTTCATCAGTAGTTCGGGACAACTGTTTGCTTCTTTTAAAGGCTTTTGCTGATGATATAAAGGCAGCTAACTCAGTGCAGCTAACTCAGTGCAGCTACCTCGGTGCAGACATTGCAACTCATTACAGCGTTTTTCTCTGAATTCATGAAAATAAAGACATTCACTGGGGAAAAAAAATGTGTTTTGTTGAGTGTTTTTGTTGTGTTGGCTTGTAAACCTGAAAATTCATGGAATAGGAATCAACCAATCAATCAATTAATCAGTCATGGGTCTATCAAACAAATATTAAATGTCTGAGCAATTTTCATTTTCATCCCTGTATTTCTTAAGATTCAAAACAGATGAATCCATCTGTCAGTAGAGTGTCAAATACACATTAAATAACCATAAACGTCACGTCTCTATTGCCTGTGACATGAATTTCGAGTTGTCAGTAGTGAATTCATGCAGTTTATAAGACACTCAAAGACAGATACACAGATAATCCTCAGCCATGCTCTTCCTGCCATGTGACCTTCAGTCAGCATCACACAGAAGAAGACAGACCTGGTCCTGGAGGACATCGAACAGGACGGGGACAAGGACACAGAGCAGCACAAGAAGGAGGTGAGTCTCACAAGGACTCATCTTGTCCCAGCTTTGAAGTAATGTTCAGGATCACTCTCAGAAAGACCTCTGCTTTGAGCATAATGTCTACATGGCTTTGCTAACATGCTAACAATAGCGTAGTTGTTGACGTGCATGTTAACGCATTAACCAACATAGGCAACATGACCCTTTGAAGGGTATCATGGTAGTAGCACAGTAGGCACTATGGTACTTCAAGGGCCACCAAACTAGTACAAGGCTATGTACCATAGTACTTTGGAGGGTATCGGGGTAGTACCAGAGTAAGAACTGACACTTCCAAGGTTATTATGGTAGTACCAGAATAGATACAATATCACTAAGAGGCATACCATGCTGTTTGTACCTTTGGAAATGCTACTGTGGTCATTTAAGACCAGGACAAGTCCCATAGAGATACGATGACCCTTTGAAGGGCATCATGGTCTTACCAAAGCAGGCACTATGGTACTTCAAGGGCCACCAAGCAGTACCAATGTAGGTACCATGGTGCTTTGGAGGGTATCGGGGTATTTAGGTATTTAGATTATACTCAACAGAGATTTTTTCCATGTGATTGTTTGCAGACAGAAGATGCAACGATCCAGATGGAGCAAGTGACTCCACTGATGGAAAGGTTGGCGACAACTGTCTCTGCTTAGTTTACTCTATTTTCCTTTTGTCCTTCTTCTGTTTTGTTGTTTTTGTCCCATAATTGCTTTGAAGATGAAAATAACTGCCGGTTGTTCTGTCTGTCCAACACTTTGGTTCAGAGGGAGCTTTCTCAGTAACCACAGGCCTTTGTTATTGTAGGGTGTCATAGAATCTGTAGCATGTATGGGACACCTGTAGGTCTTTAGGCTGGTTTTTGTCCTCATTTTATTTAGATTTATTTAAAAGTCTAATTTCGCCGAATGTCTGAGCTCTTCCTTATTGTACAGACTGCAGCAGGACCGTCTGGAGGCAGCCCGTGTCGCAGAGGAGATGGCTATGAAGGCAGCGGAGGAGGCAGTCCGCCAGCTGGAGGTCGAGCATTCAGCAAAGATCGTCATAGAAACACTGCCAGAGTCCAATGAGCAGTAAGTCACATAAACACACACATCGACATACTGTCCAGTCAGACCGCTGCGTCTCCAAACTGTCAACCTTTCAGGAAGTGACAAGAAAGACCCTTCTTTCTTGTATTTTACTGCAATGCTCTGTGAACAAGTTGAAGTATCTCACTGCACTGGAGGAATTTTTCTCTGTTTGAAGAAAAGCTGAACTTTCGACAAAATTAATTTTTAAGATTCATAATACAACAGATGCTACAAGTATCCCAGAGAAAAACACCTCCAAATCACCTGCACCAACTGATCTGACACGTCCTCCAGTAACTGACCTGCGGTTTGTTCTCAACAGACTGCCCAACATCCTGGAGGAGGAGAACGAGGACGACCCAGAGTAAGTCAATCTTCACGAAACCCAAACCACCAACCTGCCGCTATCTCCTATACTTACATACAACACATTACTTAACACTTTATGTTGGGTTTTACTTTCTTTTGGCAGACATCTGTATCTTTGTACTATCTTCTTGTCTGATTCTGAGGGGTTAGATACTCTGAGTGTTTGGGTTGGAGCATTACTTGAAGGGTCTGAAATTTAGTTTTCAACAAATGGAAGCACTCTTTTAGACCAACATGTAAACGTCACTGACATACAGACAAACTGACCAAATGGCTGAACCCACTCTACTCTTATGAATTATGATTTGCTGAAATACTCCCAGTCACTGTATTTAATTATGCACCTTCTGCGTTAGAGCTTCCTCTGCTGGCAAAGTTAGAGCTGAACATCCAGATCCTCTCACCTGCTGTCTGCTCGAGTCTGATGCTGCTGCCTTTAGCAACTAATTTCTCTCCGAAAACAATGAGCTGAACTGTCTGACAGGGGCTCTCCATCTTGTTTGTCCCTTGCTGCACTCCGTTCAGGTTGCAGAACCTGCAGGAGGACAGTGACGACAGCACAGACAATACAAGTCCTGTGGGAAATAAAGTAGCGGTGGAAAATATTGAGGAAGACAAAAAACCTGACGAGTAAGCTCAGCCATTTTTAGATGAAGGCCTCCCCCCACTACGGAAAGATGACAGGACGCCTCCATACCACTGATGAGTTAGATCTGATTGGTAAAATCAACATCACCAATGAAGCTATTATTTATATTACTTGATCCTCTTGTAGAGTTCTGTAAGAAACTCTAAGATCTCAACACATTGTGGTATGGGTTGCTACTTCCTGTGCATAAGCTTGCAGTAAGAGCTTATGCTTTGGTACCATCGTATCTTCTGTGCTTGTTAGAGCGAGCTAAAGTCCTGCCCTGTTCCAAGCTGGTATTTCTTCTTATTGAAAACTGGACTCTCACTGTTCCTGAAAGAAATTTTATGTGTAGAAATCACAATGAAACTTGGGATGATTCACTACCTTTATCAGATGGATAGTTTCAGACGGCCCTGCACTCCACAGTACTTTCCCTATAAGACATCCTGGGCTACGCAGTCAGTAGACTCAGTGGAGTGGATAAGTAAACTCCCATGACTCCTCAAGTGTCTTTGCAAGTCCTGGTCCCCTCTTCCACAGTCAGGATGGAATTGGCCGGAGCCTCATTTCAAACGTCCTACAACATTTTTTTTCTGAAAGGAGCAATAAAGACACACAAATTAAAAACAGGAACCACCACCCCTCTGGTTGGTACAGTGTACCACTCCACAGGAACAGTCCCTGACCAATAATTTGTGGACCCCTTTAGGAAAATCTCATCTACCCTGGGCACCTCGCACCTACTGTGGATCCTTTTGGTTTTGGCTGCTTCCTCGGTCAAAGAGAAGGGCAAAGTTTCTTCCAAGTCTTGTAGCTCTGCCTCGTCCTCCCAGAGAACAGAGGAGAAAATGCAGACGAGCATGAGGGTGAAATTCTTCATTTACCAGGCGATCTATGTTCCAAACATCAACCATGGTTGTGAGCGCTGGGTCGTGACACACCCGAGTCGATTCAAGCGACTGATTCCGGGTGTTAACACTGGCAACCAGAAGCAAATAGTTTTGCTAACTGGAGGTGAGACCTACATGTGGTCCTCTGGTATCAGCACAACAGAGTGGGTGTTGGTTGGTGTTTTAACTACATTAATCTTGTTAGATCTTTGGTGAATTGGCAAGCTGTTCAAACTGAGTCTAGTTGAGTTGTCACTTTATCTTAGCTTAGCTTTCTTAGCTTCAGGTTAGCCAGGAACTGGGGCAGGACTTTGGCTCTAAATAGTTTCTTTGTGCCCAAACAGTTTGCCATCTGCTGCATGCCTGCCTCTTTTCAAGCTTTGCCTCTTACCACAGTGTCCCCTCGTGATTACATATAATTTTATTTTGTGTTGCTGTTTGCCAACTTTTCCTCTGTGAATCAGGGCCGACTTCAAAAGGTAGGTTGGAATTTTTACAACCAGTATAACAGCTACTTACCAGACCAGATATTATGTGTTCAATAGAGTTTTTGAACCTTTATTGCCAACATTTTTCAGTTCGTTGCTCCTATAATACCTTCATATAGTGAATACTGTAAGATATGCATTAAGATACTCCCTGACTTTGTTTTGACACAATGAAAAATACCAAATACCTCCCCCAGAGTCTCTAAGGATGTCACTCTACAGCAAACCTCAAGCTTCATCTTTATCCTGACTTGAACTCCTCTAAGTTTTATTTTACCTCCTACTGTTTGTGAACAAATATTAACAGTCATACAGGGAGGCAAACCATGTCTTCCACCTCCACCTGTGAACACCAGGGAAGTGGAAGTAGAATCAGTTTTGCAGATTTTCAGGGGGTTTTCTTGACACCTGCCCTTCTTCACCAGGTCTCTACTGGACGTCTGTCCGGCTGCAGATGATGCTGAGGCCAAGACTCAACCCACTGAATCTGAACCAGCAGAGGAAGTCACTCCATCATCAACAGATGTGGAGCCAGCATCGGAGAGGAGAGACCTGGAGAGTCCGGTCACCCAACAACCAGAAGCTCCAGGGGCCCCGACCATCACCACAGACCAGGTGAAACTCTTTATGAAACAGAGTCAAAAAGGCTCCTGTACTCTGGCTAGAGGGTGTTTTTCTCTGATATGTCGTCCTCATCACAGCTGAAGGTTGTTGGTCTCCTAGTAACAGCTTCCAGGTTTGAGCCCGTGCCACTCCATGAAGCAGATTTAATTTGTTTGATTTTCTTCCTCCTCTTTCAGGATGATGAAGCAGCAGAGGACGATGGATGTGGAGGTGAGAGCTGAAAATGATTTCTGTCAGAACAGCTATTTTGAGCATCACCAGACGGAGCAGCATAGATCATAGTTAGAAAGTTGTTTCCATAATGGATTGAGAGAAGAAAATCAACTTGTTTGTTCAGTCTTTAGTGTCCCTGATTCTTTCTGGATGGTCTCTGTAACTACGTACTGATCGGTTCCACCAGGATCTTGTGAAGTTCTCCTTTTGACTCTGACTGTTTCTCCGTCCAGTTCCTGACATTTGCTCTCCGATAAAGAACTTCCTGCTTCAATTGCCTCACGCTGCTGAGTGTCTGGAGAGCTGCAGGAAGCTGATGCATGACCATAACCTCAACCCCCCCAAGCTATCCATGCCGACCCTGCCGCCGGAGCTCGCCCTGCTGACCCAGGAGCTGTCGCAGCTCACCGAACAGGGGCGACAGTGCTGCATGAGCATCGTCAGCCACCTCAGACGCCTTACCTCTAACTCCCAGCATCCTCAGCAGCCCTAAGCCCCACCCTCCTCCCACAGACCCTTAGAGAAACCTCATAGACTTTTAACTTTGTTTAATCCAAACCTTGAACGTGCCAAACAAACCCTTCTGCCTTGAGGTGTCCCCGAACATCCCACTTCCTCCTCATCATCACTCCCATCTTGCTCTGCACCGCTTCACCACCAGCTAACAGCTAACCACTAAGGTGATCTTAACAGCAGTGGATGTATGTGCTGTGCTTGGCTTGGCTTCGTTGCTGTGAACTGTTGGCGGTGTTTGTTGGAAGACGTCCAGCAGCTGTTCTTCTGCTCTGGTCCTCAGGGAGCTGTGGGCGGAGTCTGGGTGAAGCTCCGCTGCTGAAGGTGCAGGACGTGGATCCGGGAAGAGGCCGGAACATCCCCCAAATTATCACAACCCCAGAACTGGAGTCCATGATTCTGACTGTCCCTGACATGGAGCTGTCGAAACTCAGGTAACAGACGTGTAATCTTCCACACCTGACAGGGGCGTTGTAGATATCACAACACCTTGACACATGGTCCATGTTTTTCCATTTTCACTGACGTCCTCATGTCTTCCTGCTGTGTCCCTCTCAGTCAAGCGGCTGAGGATCTGAAGGCCTGGTCCAGTCAGGGAGACCTGCTGACTGCAGATGAAGAGTGAGAGAAATGACACAGACACTCTGTCCTCTACCTCCTTCGCCCCGTCCTGCATGTTAAACTATCCTCTTGTTGTCCTCCTGCAGGACACGTCCTCTGTCAGCCGCCAGCGTCGGTAGCGTCGTGATCCAGGACCGTCTGAGTGAGCTCGTCAGGCTGTTTAAAGGTCGAACAGAGCGGCAGAGAGACCGGCTGGTGGACCCAGATGAGTCTGAAGGGGAGAGTCCCTCAGCCTGTACGTGTTGTCATGTTTATGTTTCTGATTATGTGTTTTCCTGTTTTCATGGTCAAAACGAACTAATGAATGTTGAACTCAAACTTTAATAACACTGAATATCAAATGTTCCTATAAAAGTTTCCTTTATATAAACATTCACTGGATGGAACCATCTAATTAATGCTCTAAAAATACAGAATTATCTTACAAGTTTTGTCTGATCTCTGCAGCTCCAACCAAAGCTCCACCTCCCCCTCCTCCCCCACCTCCACCAGGGGAGGAGAAGAAGGAAGAGGCTCCTGCTGAAGCAGAAGAAGAAGAAGAAGAAGAAAAGTTGGGGTTCAGCTTTGAACTTTTAGGACACCCCGTGAAACTTCCCAAACTGCCCAAACTTCCCCTGATGCCCGACTGGCTCCGAGCCATCGTGGAGTATCGCTTCCCCTCCAGCATCGACCCCTTCACTGGTGAGCACTCAGACCAAGAGCTGAACTACAGTTTCCTTAAAGAGATATTTCTCTAAGACTGAAACAAGAGAAAATGCAAATGTTAGAAAACAGAGAAAGAAAAAGAAAACATTAACAACTGCAATGAAAGAAGAAAAAGAAAAAAAGAAGTATGTTTGTGATGCAATAAAAAATAGTGTTATGATTATATTTATAAGGTAGATAATGGGAGTAACAGTGATGAGTAAAGACTCCAAGACTTAGTAAGTGATGACTAAATAGAGTTGGAGTCTATATTCTGATGTTAAAGCTCCTCCAGTGTAAAGGTCTGTGTCCATGTGTAGTGTGATTATAGATCAGCTCTAGCTTCTATATTAATACTGTGAAAGTATCAAAGCCTCAGTCCACAGAGAAATGCACACAGCCTGTATTCAGAAACTGAGCCTTAAAACCAGCCGTCAGGACTTCTGGAACTTTGTGATGTCACAACAAAGCAGTCACCAAGCCCCGCCCACCTGGACCCACCATCCAAACCTTGCAGGATTTGGTTTCTCTGAGTGTTTTACCTGAAATCTGCTATATTTTTATTGGATCACTCAGAAAACAGTCAGCCAATCAGAAGAGAGGCTCAGAGCCTCCTCTCTTCTGATTGGCTCACCGACCTGTTGTTACTAGAGCTGCAGAGAGAAGCCTGAGAGAGGAGATGTAAAACTACACTGAGATGGTTTTTATATCTTCTGATGGATCAACACAGAGGAAAACATGGGACCAGGAAGTAGACAGGTTTATCATGGAAATGTAGGTTTCATTTCTCAGCATTAACAATGTATTTATTTATTTTTTGATATAAATTGATATTACAAAAATACAAACTGTTTAATACAGTACACATTCATTTTGTTTGTTAATCAACTGACTGGTTTGTTTCTAAATTAATTGATCAACACTCTTTGATAATTGATTTTTTCCATTGAAAATATAAATAATTCTGTTTCAGCTTTTCCAAAGTGAGAATTTGATGGTTTCCTGTCACATGACAAGGTTGATGGATAAACTGAATCTGCTGGTGGAGACTGATCTGACTCTCTGCCTCCATAGACCTGATCTACGTGATCTGGCTGTTCTTCGTGGTGGCGGCCTGGAACTGGAACGTGTGGCTGATCCCGGTCCGCTGGGCGTTCCCCTACCAGACCCCCGAGAACATCCACCTGTGGCTGCTGGCCGACTACACCTGCGACTTCATCTACATCACAGACATCCTGATCTTCCAGCCCAGACTGCAGTTCGTCCGCGGAGGAGACATCGTGGTTAGTGACACCGACGGGAAGAAAAACACTTTGGATTTTATCTCTTTAAATGAAGAGAGCGTTTTTTTAATCTGGAGCTTTTGCGTTACAGTGTGATAAGAAGGACATGAGAGAGAACTACATGACCACAGAGAGGTTTAAGGTGAGAGCACACCTGTCAGAGATAAAGAAAACACTTTCTTCCTGCTTCAGTTTGTAGTTTTCTCTTCTCACAGTTGTTTCCACTGATCAGAGTGTCTGCTGTGTTTTCCAGATGGACATCATCAGTCTGTTTCCCATGGAGATATTTTACTTCTTCACCGGAGTGAACTCTCTGCTGAGGTTCCCTCGGCTGCTGAAGGTCAGGATGCTTCACTTCATACAGACGTTCATGCTGCCGAGTGTTTGTGAAGGTGAACGTGATGAACAGCTGACTCCTGTCTTCTCTCTCAGTACATGGTTTTCTTTGAGTTCAACGACAGGATGGAGGCTGTGATGAAGAAAGCCTACATCTACAGGTGAGGAGCCAAATACAGGTACAAGGTTTGTCTCGTATGTATTTTATGAAAACATCAGTGAGGAGCTTCATGAACTCAAGATAAGAGAGAAGATATTTCTTTATTAGTCCTACGGGGGGAAAATTTACTGTCTCACAGCAGCAAAGTGACAGAGCAAAGAAAGAGAAACTGCAAAATGATTAATGATCAATTACTTTAAAAAGATAAATAATATAATAATATAATATGTACAATTAGATATTTAAATATAACAAAAAAAGAGATCAAGATGTTCATTTGTTTTGGTAACACAGTCAGTCAGAACACACATGAGGCCAGTAGTCCACGTTGTACCTGACCCAAAGATGAATCATGAACCAGCTGCTGGTCTGGTGTTTTAACGATTTATGTTTCTTACACAGTTTTAGTTTTTTTTTACTTTACAGCATAAAAACCAGGAAAATAAAAGTGGCAGCAGTGAATATAAAAGCTGTGAACCTTCGTAGACTATGAAGTCGCAAAGCACCGATCCTGTTTCCTAGCAACCTTGACAACACATAACTTTTTGTTTTAAGTCTCTTGGTTTAAAGCGTTTTACTGTTAGCTGTTGAACTGAGCTGAAACACAATACTTACATTTAACAGTGTGATCCTCAGTCTCTCTGTCGGTGCTGTTTGCTCTCATTACCAGCGTGCAATGAATCTTGGGATATGTAGGACCACGAAGGATCCACCTGTTGGAGCCTCGGTTGTCCAGGAAAGGAAGGAGCCTTTGACAGTTTAATCGTGCCGTTGTAACATAGTCGGTCTTCAAATGAAGCCTCTGAATTGAGACACAGCTACTAAACACCTGCACATGAATCTATAGTAATTAACACACATATGTATTACATGGTGTTTGAGTGGTGATATATCTGTGTCTTTTGTCGGAGGGTAGTAGCGGGAACTTTCTGTTTATCCACTGTGTTATACTTTAGTCAAACATTTAATGTAAAAGTGAATAAAAACTACAGCACAGGAACTTCAAAACAAGCGTAGTATCAACTCTCCTCCTCTGGATCAGTGGAGGTTATGGCGGATGGAAAGACCAGTTTCCAGAGCGTCGGTTTCGTTATTTATGTCAGTGTAGAGAGAGGAGGACTTTCTCTCTCTGAGCCTTTTGACCAATCATCAACAGTTAAGTTTCACTCTGGTGGAAGTTTAGAAAGTTTTGCGTCATTTCAGAATTAAAAAACAGAAAAGTCCAGGTTCTACAATTGATCCCTGAGGAACCCCATATCTCATGTCGTTAAATCTTCTCCCTGTGTTGTTGTTGTTGATGTTTTTGTTGTTGTTGTTTTTGTTGTTGTTGTGTGACAGGGTGATCCGGACCTCCACCTACCTGCTGTACTCTCTGCACATCAACGCCTGTCTCTTCTACTGGGGCTCAGACTACGAAGGACTGGGATCCACCAAATGGGTCTACAACGGGAGAGGCAACGCGTAAGAGACGATGAGTGATTATAGATGAACATACATGAAACTCAGTCTGTACGAGTCTGAATACACACAGATACTGTATATCAGCTTTTATAAAGACAGATATAAATCATCTGTGTCGAAGGGTTTTCAAACATCTGAGAACAGATCTGATGATGATTTTTGCAGTTTCAAAGTGGTCGATTTTTTTTAAGTGACAAAATCCTTCTTATAAAATCTGTAGGTTGTAATTTCTCAAAACTTAATTGTCTTATTTTTTCCTACAGTTACATTCGTTGTTATTACTTTGCCGTGAAGACGCTGATCACCATCGGAGGTCTGCCGGACCCCACCACCGTCTTTGAGATCTGCTTCCAGCTCATCAACTATTTCGTTGGTGTCTTTGCGTTTTCCATCATGATCGGTCAGGTCAGTGGTTCCTCTGAGACGCTGTGAGTTTTTATGGTTGGACTGATTTTGATTGATTGAATAAGGAAAAAAAACGTTCAAAGAAACAAACGAAGTCAATAAAAATAAGAAAGTTAATAAATAAAATAATATATACAATACATACTGATACACATATACAGTATAGACCTACATACACATTACTTCATACAGTGTCATAATATATCTTTAGCTCAGTCCTCTGGTTCCTGTCACTTCACCGACGTTCTGCTTTCAGAAACACGCTCAGGATTTCTGTCCCCTGTTTTTAATAATAATTAGAACTTTATTTATGATTGAACAGAATAAAAAGTAAATAAAAGTCAAAACGTAAAAGATAAAATCAGATTAAAGGTCCTCTCTGCTCTGACTCTGTTCTCAGATGAGAGACGTGGTCGGAGCAGCGACAGCCGGAGAGAACTACTACCGTGCCTGCATGGACAGCACCGCCAAGTACATGAACTCCTATAACATCCCCCAAGAAGTCCAGAACCGCATCAAGACCTGGTACGACTACACCTGGAAGAGCCAGGGCATGCTGGGTAAGAAGGAGGAGCTTATTATAAATACATTAATGAATGGCTTCCAGTTAACGGTCTCCAATTCATACACTAAACTGGTTTATAGTCCATGTTCTCTGTAAACAGGGACCAGCAGCAAACTCAAAGAAAGCCTTTGTCCCTGAACGTCTCGTGTGTAGTTCATGTACATTCATGTACATGTGTTGTGATGTTTCCTCTGCAGATGAACAAGAGCTGCTGGTGCAACTTCCTGCCAAGATGAGACTGGACATCGCTGTGGACGTCAACTACGCCATCGTCAGTAAAGTCGCCCTGTTCCAGGTCAGAGACACACACACATGCACACACACACACACACACACACACACATACACACACACACACACATGCACACACATACACACACACATGCACACAGAGTGAGTTGTGAGTGTGTGTGTTGTGTCTCTCAGGGCTGTGACAGACAGATGGTGTTCGACATGCTGACGAGGCTCAAGTCCGTCGTCTACCTGCCCGGAGACTTCGTCTGCAAGAAGGTGAGAACACACCTGAGTGTGCTGGTGGACCTGTTACACCTGTGTGTGTGTGTATGTGTGTGTTCACCTGGCCTCTGTGTGTGTCTCAGGGGGAGATCGGCAGGGAGATGTACATCATCAAACAGGGGGAGGTGCAGGTGGTGGGCGGTCCTGACCTGCAGACGGTGTTTGTCACCATCAGAGCCGGCTCGGTGTTTGGAGAGATCAGGTCAGAGCTGCTTCCTGTCATCCTGTTAGCCAATTAAAATCTGTATGTGGGGCAGCGGGCGGGGGGGGGGGACGACGACTCAGAGTTAAGTGTGGAGATCAATACACTGGTGGTGACATGTTTGTGGTCACAGTAGCATGAATAAATGACTGAATAAATGAATTAATGATTGAAAGGATGAATGAACAAATAATAGAATGAAGGAAAACATGAACAAATGAATGAATGAACGGATGAACAGATTAATCAACAAATTAACAGATGAATGAATGGGTGAATGAATGAATTAATGGATGAATGAATAAATAATTCATGGTCTCCTGAGAACGACGTTTCCTCTGAAGCCACCAGCAGCTCACAAGCTGGCAACACTTTCTATAAAGAGTTAATAAACTGTAATTAACATCAATAAATCATTTACTAAAGCTTTATTGATCAGTTATAACACTCTGATCTCTGACCTTGTGGAGAACAGCTGCAGCACATCTGGACCCAAATCCTTTTACAAACTGATTATTAACATTTACAACAAGAAGAAAAGACCTTTGAGATTTTATCTGGACTTTAATTCACTGTTACACATCACTTCTCTCTCCGCTCTCTGATTGGTCAGCTTGTTGGCAGGAGGTGGAGGCAACCGACGTACTGCCAACGTGAAGGCGCACGGATTCGCCAACCTCTTCATCCTGGACAAGAAGGACCTGGCAGAGATCCTGGTCCACTACCCAGAGTCCCAGAAACTGCTCCGCAAGAAGGCGAAGTAAGACACAGCCACACTGTCTTTATTTCTTTATTTCTTTCTTTTTTTCTTTATTTCTTTCTTTTTTTTTCTTAATTTTAAAAAAGAATTTATTTCTTTATTTAATTTTTTTCTTAATTTTTTTATTTCTGTATTTCTTTATTTGGATCCTCATCGGCTTCCATACAAACAAAAACAACAAATAAAACAAACAATTATTAAAATCACACTTAAAAAACATAACAACAATAATTAAAATAACTCGACATGTAAAAAAATAAACAATATTAACTTACAATGAAAACAAAACCAACACTGTCACAAATATAACATAATATGTTTAGGCAGCAGATCAATACTTACAGATCAATATGGGCTCCTCCAGTGTTCAGTCAGGTGTTAGCAGCAGCCAGATGTTCGTGTTGTTGAGTTCAGTGTGTACACAGTACACAGTCATTCCTGTTTGTGTCAACGTCACCTGGTTACGTTAACTCTGGCTGTTCTGTGAATATCAATCTTGTGTAAAGAGCCGCAGCTCTTCATCACTGACGCCTGAATTTCCTCCAACAATGACGAGTTAAAGTGGAAATATCACGTTTAATAAACCTCCAATAATAATCCGTAATAATAATCAAAAGCCCACAGTTGTTCATTTTATTCCTGTGAACACATGATTTTATTTCATACGTTCCAGCAGCTGATGTCTTTCTTTGTTTGCTCATCAAAACGAGAAAGCAGCAGAGCGTTTCCTCTCCTTCTTCTCGGATGAATGAATCACTTTCGTTTAATTCTCATCGTTCAGACAGACGATCAGGAGCGTCTTCATGTTTCAGTGTTTATTCATGGAATAAAAGAGCGAGCTAGAAGAAAAGAAGACACTCATAAACATGAGAAAAGACAAGAAAAGATTTTCCTCATATGCTGTTATTTTGTAAAATTTTGTAATAATTTTTTTAATTAAATCCAAAGACAAATCAAAAATAATTATTTCAATTTCAATTCAAATCCTAAATAAGAAGGATTTACATCGGTTCAATAAATTATCAAATTTGAGAAAATTAAAAAATAAATACAAAAACAGACATTTTGCAGTTTTTCTATCTTAATCTGTCACTTTGCTGCTGTGACACTGCAGATTTAATAAAGGAATATTATCTAGTCGCCTTTGTTTCAAAGTTGTACGGTTGGAAATTGTTTGCCCCTCCGCTCTCGTGAACATCTCTTCACCTGTCGGCTCAATTAAAGGGCACACCACACCTTTAAATCACCTCAGCTCATTAGATTTATCATGATAATAACAAGAAAAAACCACCTTCAAACACACGATAAGCACAATTCAATTCAGAAAATGCATAAATATATACATACATAATATAATATATATAATAATAACAATCATATATATATACTGTATATATATATATATACATATATATACTGTATATATAATGAGGCCGACACACGCAGAACAAAGTGTTTGATGCGACTGCTCTCCTTCCGTCTCCGTCGTATGATCCCTCCTCCGTCCTGACCTGGATTAGATTCACCTTAATCCCCTCACTCGGCTCGCTCTAGTTCTCCATGCAGACAGTCGGAGCGTCGGGTCAGATCATGGTGCTGCACCATAGTGGGTGGAGGTGCTGGAGGTGCTGTGGGTGTTGGTACGGGACCTCCGTAGATTCACAGTCTTTGTAGGTCAGATTCCCCTTTTTGAATTTTTAATTTAAATTGTTGGGGCGTTTGTGTTTCCAGTTTGGAAACGTTGGACGTCTGTTTCCCTTTAACTCGTCACCGTGTGTCTGTGTTTGTGCAGGAAGATGCTGACGAAGGACAAGAAGCCGGATGAGAAGGAGGGAGGTAAAGAGGTGGAGGTCATCCCCCCCAGACCGGACACCCCCGAGATGTTCAAGGCAGCGCTGAAGGTGACGGAGCAGGCGGGACTGGAGGGAACCTTTGCCAAACTGAAGAAGACCTACAAACCGTCTGAGAGCACAGGAGAGGTACAAAACACACACACACACACACACACACACACACACAAACACACAGAATATTTTCTATAATATTTATTGTTGTTCACTGACAGAAGTTTCAGTTTAAACAACTTTGTTTTGTTTGATTTTTCTGTCAGTAAAATAAATTAATTATAAAATAAATAATAACAAGAAACAAAAAGAACTAAAGAAAAACCTAAAGTTTACAGATTAAAATGAAGCAGCGTTTTCGAGGGATAATAAATACATTTTCTCATCAAAAGATGAATAATATGAAATGAAAATATGTGAGTCTGTTGAAATAATCGGCATGTTCCTGTTTTTTAATGTTTGTTTTTAAAACAGAATTAAACTTTAACTTTTTTTAATGAGTCACATCCTGTAAAAGAAGCTTCATCCTTGAGACTCTCAGGGATTTTTAAAACTTTTTTCCTGTTACATAAAGAAAATATAGAAAAAACACTTAAACTGAAACTTAAATTGATGGATTGTTTCAGTTTGTTGATGTCTTCAAATCAGATTTAAATTAATGATCTGTTTACTGTTATCACTGCACAGATCCATGAAACTAAAAGGACATTGTCACCTGTTGAATACTCTTTTATATATAGTTTTATCAGGTGATAAATATATCGTATATATATATATATATAAAATATTTATATGAATATCAATATGAATATTTGTTCAGCGAGACCTTTAAACTTTCAAATGAAAAACCAAGGAGAGTTTCAGTCTGTGTAGCTGGATTTTCAGTCACAATTTAAAATAATTTGTCAAAAAAATAAGTTCTGATGGCTCGGTCTGCATGGAAGGAAGGAAGGAAGGAAGGAAGGAAGGAAGAAAGAAAGAAAGAAAGTATATATATATATAAAATATTTATATGAATATCAATATGAATATTTGTTCAGCGAGACCTTTAAACTTTCAAATGAAAAACCAAGGAGAGTTTCAGTCTGTGTAGCTGGATTTTCAGTCACAATTTAAAATAATTTGTCAAAAAAATAAGTTCTGATGGCTGTTGATCACATGACTCGGTCTGCATGGAAGGAAGGAAGGAAGGAAGGAAGGAAGGAAGGAAGGAAGAAAGAAAGAAAGAAAGAAAGAAAGAAAGAAAGAAAGGCGATAAAACTGAAAGAAAGAAACAAAAAATTCATCCACTCCTCCACCCACCTCCCTCCATCTCCTCCTTTTTGTCCTCCCCAGGCTCCCTCCTCCATCTCTCCGCTCCCCCCTCCCTCGCCGATGCACCGCCGCTCTCCGATTCCTCGCGCTCCGGTTCAGGACGACGACGACACGGTGGCGGAGACGGCCGACAGCTCCGTCATCATCAGGATGACGCCGCGACATCAAGGGGAGGAGGTGCTTAGTGTGGAGGTGGTGCCGGGGGAGGGACGGGAGGAGCAGCACTGAGAGGAGGAGAAGAAGAAGAAAGGGGAGGAGGAGAAAAGGTGAGGGGGCAGATGTTGCTCCTACTCCACCTGCTGCGTCTTCTAGTAAAACGAGTCCCTCTGCTTCCCAGAATGCCTTTCACCGACCTCCAGAGAGGGGAGGGGGGTTTGAAGTGGAGGTGGAGAGAAAATCAAGAAGCCCCGGTGCATTCTGGTCTCACAAACTTTTCTCTGTTTCTTCTTCTGTGGTGGTTTTAGTTGTTAAATAAAAACATGTTTTCTTCCTCCTCACATGATTAGCTCATTAGCTTAAGGGGCTCTTTAGGGATCTTTAGAGGATGTTTAGGGGATCTGTAAAAGGATCTTTAGGAGATCTTTCGAGGATCTTTAAGGGATCATTAGAGGAATTTTAGGGGTTCTTTAGGAGATCTTAAGGGGATATTCAGGTGATCTTTGTTGGATCTTTAGGGTATCTTTCGAGGATCTTCAGGGGATCTTCAGGGGGGTGTTTAGGGGATCTTTTGAGGATAATCAGGGGATCTTTGTTGAATCTTTAGGGGATCTTTCGAGGATCTTAAGGGATCTCCAGGGATCTTTGGGGTGTGTTTAGGGGATCTTAATGGGACCTTCAAGGGATCTTCAGGGATCTTTACATGATCTTAAGAGGATCTTTTGGGGATCTTCAGGGGATCTTTGTTGGATCTTTAGGGGATCTAAACATCAGGGTCACAGGCCAGAGGCAGCTCAGAGATCCTCATCAGTGATATTTCAGGTAGACCTCAGCCAGGCTGCAGTTCTCTGTCTGACCACACACACTGACTGACACTCACCAGCCATTTGAACACAGAGGGGCGCTGTTTCCCCTCATGGGAGGAAGCTTAATGACAAACACTGAAGAAAACAAGTGAAAACCAACAAAATAAGAGTCTGTTGTTAAAATCACAGATCATGTGTTCATGAAACTTAATTTCCCAGAATCCCCAGCTTCTGTTCTGCAGCTTTGGTGCTTCTCAGCACAGCCACTGACTCACTGTGGCCTTCACTGAGCTGATTTAACTTTAGAAGCAGCTTCATGTTGAATAGAGATGATGATGACGTCTTGTTTCTTTTTACTGATATAAAATGAGACTGATCATATGTGGGTCTCATGTTAGTGGTCAGTAAATGTGTAGTGCTCATTGATGAATCTGCTGAACGCTGTGTGAGGACGACTGTCTCTCTCCATCCGCTGTGATCGGTCTGTTGTTTCCTGTTTCCACTGTGAACTGTTCAATAACTGTCGGACACAAACAGAGCTCTAATGACCGTTAATGATTTAACTCCAGCAGTTTCCAGGTCATTCAGGATCATCTGTGTGTGAGGACCAGTTTTCAATCTGATCAGGGTTCATTTTAGGGCCAGGACGAGGGTTTAATGTTAAAGGGTCAGCTGGTTTGAGCTCCTAGGTTAAAAGGTTCATCAACAGCTGGATTTAAAACTGATTTCAAAGGAATCACTGTGATTGGTGGATTGGATTGTGGGTGACGTAAATCTGTGGATAATCTGATGCGTCGAGTTCAACTTTGGTAAAACTTTGACACAGAAATTCACAGTGTTGAGACAATAAATCACTCTGTCAGATTATGGAGATATCGGGGAAATATTTCTCACAGAATAACAACCTGGAGTCACGCACATTGTTTTATTTGGATCATTTTCCAAAGAATTTGCTCTAAAACTATAAAAAATACTTTGTCATAAATATTTATAGCCTCATGATTTGCCAATGTAGGTATGTTGCATCATTAATGCTGCTAGAGGGCGCCGCTGAGCTTTCTGTTGAGCTGCAGGGAGATTTGTAGTACCTCCCAAGTATGGAAATGGTATGTGAGTGTGTGTGTGTGTGTGTGTGTGTGTGTGTATACATAAATCGGGAAAGGCTTCAGGAAGCAGAGGAAGCACTCATTGTGTCAGTCTGAACTGAGGGGAAAGACAGAAAACAAGAAAAGGCGGGAAAGCAGAAACAATGCAGAGCTGAAAGCTGCTGCTGGACACAGGAAGCTTCATTATCACTGCTGATTACTGAGAATAGAAGAAGAAACGTGTAAGTCCACATATCTGCTGGAGCTCATAGAGCTGCTCTGCTGCTGTATGTTAAACGCCAGGAAGATTTAATGTATTTCTACTGGAGTGATGACGGCGCTGTAACATGTACAAACAGTTTGTAAATAAAGTTATTTCAAATGGAGCTGGTGTGTGTGTGTGTGTGTGTGTGTGTGTGTGTGTGTGTCTTTTGAAATGCAGACAAAAGGTAAAAAATAGTCCCCTGCATTTTTGTCTAACAACCATGAGACAGAAAGAGATTGATAGAGAAAAATGATAATGAAAATGATAATAATAATAATAATTATATATATTTATATCATAAAAATAAGAGTAGAAATAAAATAGACACTAAACAAGAGCAATTAAATTACAAGCAATGAACATATAGCACCCACAACCAGTGTTGTAAACTAATAGTGCAGCAAGTGAAGAGGCAATCTTTGTTTATTGTGTTTAGCAGAAGAAAAGTAAATTACATTTAAGAGTAATATGATACCATAATATGGAATATCAAACATAAGGTGAACTGTATTAATATAGTAAGAAATGTCCCAGAATTCTCCAACAGTCAAATACTGTTTTCTGAAGGTCGAGGTCACAATAATGATTTATTTATTTATTATTTATTTAACAATGTTTTACTCCCTATTATGAAACTATGAAACTGCTTCATTGTTTGAATCAAACCAGGGAGGTGGTGTCTCTATTTTTGCGTCTTTCATGTCTGAAGTGATGCTGCCTTCAGGATCCACATGTAACTCTGAGCTCTTTGGGAAAGTTATGTGCAGGACTTTTTGTTGTTTGGTGCTTGAAGTGGTTTGATAATGGGGTTTCTAAATGTTATATCATAAAACGTTTTCCTAATATTTTATTAGGAAAGCAGTATCCACCAACTGCACACTCAAAAACCCAGGGATTTCCTGCATGTTGTTTTATCATATTTGATTAATTGGTCATTTTACAGAGTAAAATATTGGAAATAGGTGGCTAAAGACTAAAGATTAAAGAGGGCGTTTTTATTTACAGCTTTTATTTAAAGTATGATTTAGTAGCAGATAAAAAGTCTGTAATCGTGAGATTGTTTTCATCTACATGCGAGTTTTGGGACTTTTATGAAAAAATGTTTTTTCACATTTTTTCAGTCTTTGCAGCTTTTTGTTGGTCAGTCCTACAAATCCCGCCCTCGTTTCTTTAAATGTACTACTTTTTTTTTTTTTCCTCGACCATGCACGCTCAGTACACTCAGTCCCCAGATCTCCGACAGCCCGTGAACGCAGCTCAGACAGACAGCAGTCTTGACTTTTTAGCGGCGGAGAGCAGCTGAGCGGCGGGGCGACACACACGGATCCTCGGCCGCTGGAAAACCGAAGACAAACCGCGAGTTTAAACTTTTAATTCACGTTTTAACAACTGAACTTTTTACCCGAGCGAAGCTGGGAGGATTTACTGCGAGCAGAGGGCGAGGAGAGCGGGAGGAAGAGGAGGGAGAGGAGGGAGAGGAGTCGCTGCTCGGGACCAGAGGTAAGGAAAAGTTTGGTTCCTTCAAACTTTTTGATTCCTTCACACTTTTTTCGCGGCACAGACTCTGGTTTTTGGTGGTTTACGGGGACTCTGCTTCCCCCGGTTCTCTGGACGGACCGTGTCAGTGTTTGTGTGTTTGCCGTTTGTCCTTCAAATGAACCAGCGGCTGAAAGTGTCAAACAGTGCAGATCTGATTCACCTCTGGCTCTTTTCATGCGGCCGTCCAGCAGCTTCCACGGCTCCACGGCTCTTTTCAGCCCCAACAAAAGAGCTTCGGCCTCACCTGGTCCACACAAACACACACAAACACACACACGTGTTTGTCTCTATGGTGATCACAATAGCAGCATTCAAACACAATGACATTTACTGAATACATTTAGTTATAAAATAATATAAAATAATAACATCCGGTCCTTTGACTTCTCCCAGAAGCTCAAAACTAATTTACAAACAGAGAAAAACAGAGAAATCAAATGTTAATAAAACTGTCACAGTCTTTAATCAGATATTAATTTAATAAATCAACCTGTCATCGTGGCAATACTGCACTAATGTAAAACCTCATCAGACAGAGCTGCTGTCAACAAACATCTTCATTATCAGTTCGTTTTCCTGTCTGTAATATTAATGTAACAATTAGAGCCCAAGGTAATGTCTTAATGGGGCTGAAGGATATCGATAATTATCAGGATAACGCGATATAATCGTTCGGTATAATTAGTTTCCAGGTTTAGAATCAGATCACAGTAATAGAGGTTTTAGATTCAGAAACAGTTTTGACTTTTCTACCTCAGCTGTTTGTCGACTGTTGAAATCAGCCTTTAAACTTAAATAAATGACCATTTGACATTAATCATGCATTTTATTGTGATTTTATTGTGATAGCGTTTTTGCTCATTGTCTTGTTTTATCCAACCAACAGTCCTGAACCTGAAAACACTCAGTTTACCTCATGATAAGACCATGACAAATCAGATGTTTGGTCATTTAGCTTGAAAAATAACTTAAATGATTGATCGATCATCAATATAGTTTCTGTTGAGTGGCAAATAGATTAATCAACTAATCATTGCAGCTTGTTTTTTGATCATTTACTGAGACAATTGTCCATCACAGTCCCTCAGAGTCCAAGTTGACATCCTCACATCTCAATCTCTTCTTAAAACATATTTCTTTGTCTCAGCCTTTGGTGATGTCTGATACATGTTTTATTTAAATTGTTTTATCCCTAATCAGTGTTTTTGCATATTTTATTTTCCTCCTTTCACTTTCTGTCAGATGTTTTTGTATAATGTTGATTTGATCTTATTATTACCTTTTATTCTTTGGACTTTTCTTTTATCTGGTTCTACTTTTTGCTTGTAAAGTACTTGTATTATTATTATTATTATTAGGAAGGTGGAAGTAAATGGTACAATACAGCTAATATGATATTTTTGCAAACTGATTTAATGGATTTCACCATTGCAAGTGAATCTGATTGTGGCAGTTTCAGTGCATGAACTGAATTAACTGTGATATTTTGCCACTTGTGTCCGTCACTGGTGTGACTGGAGCTTTAAGATAAAAAAAAACTAAACTGGATCAGCTCAGATAATCGTTGTGAGTATTTAACACTGAAGACAAAGCTGTTTCTTGTTGATGTCTTGGAGATAAAGTGACGTGACATTCAGACGACTGGAGTGTCAGTAAATCAGTCTTTCAGAGAGCAGACGGTGAACATGTGAGAAGTTTCATTCCTTGACTCTTAACGTTAAACCCAGATCTAATCCTAATCTTAATCCTAAACCAAGATTAAACTTTAGAGAACACAGTGAAGCAGTGGGGAGCTGCTGAACGTCCTCACGCTGCAGGATTTATGGGTTTTTCCTGTCATCCTGAGGACATTTGGGATACAGACACACTCCCTAGTTTCCTGTTCATGCTGTGGTGTGTGTGTGTGTGTGTGTGTGTGTGTGTGTGTGTGTGTGTGTGTGTGTGTGTGTGTGTGTGTGTGTCCGTCTGCAGTGTTGTGGGTTGAATCACTGCAGTGATGATGACAGTAACATCAGTGTGTTTGGTTGAGGAGGCGGCCGGCCTGCAGGGTGGAGTCTGCTCAGGCTGACCGCTGCACAGAAGATTTTCTATAAATAAGTTCAAGGTTTTTTGTTTTTTCCCTCCTTTATCACTGAGGCAGAGCAGCAGCCACATCACTGAACTGATCTGATGTTTCACTGACGTGGACGCAGCAGCAGCTAAACTCCGTAGTCTGGTTCTTTGTCTCTTAATGAAAGAAAAAAACATGAAAACAATGTGAGAGAAAAAGGTAAAATTCCTCCAGACATGTTTTAAACTCCTGAAATCCTCTATATTTAATTTCACATGATTTATACACATAAAAGACTTTGTCTGAAGCTCGTCTCCTCTTACTTCCTGAATGAGAAACCTGGATCAGGCCTTGAGCCCCGCCCACCACCTGCTGGCTCCAGGTGGACAGGTGAAAGAGCAGAGAGCATCAAGATGGTCAGAGGAGGAAACATCAGAGAGACTCAGCCACATGTTTGAGCCTCAGTCAGACCCAGACTCAGAGGAGGAGTCTGAGACCAGAACCAGAGACTAGCAGACGGGTCAGAACCGTTAGCTAGTTAGCATCTTTCATTTGTTTATGTTATTTGTTAGCTTGTAACTGTCAGTGGCTCACGCAGTGTTAGCGGTAAAGCTAACTCTCTCTCTCTCTGTACTGACAAGGTTTCAGGTGTATTTAGCCCCGCCCCTCCGTCCCCACAAGTTGACAGGATTGGTTCCTGAGGGTTGTGACGTATGAAACCCTGAATCTGTGTTTATGAGTCTGTCATTGGTTCACTGCAGTTCAAGCTGGACACACTGAGTCATGGAGTTGATGATTATTTCATCATCATGTGTCTGTATTTTATAAAAACATCATGTACACTTTAACAAGGTTTAACACAGTTTTTAAACTTTTTATAGACTTCCTGTTGTGAAACATAATAATCTGATTAATGTCGAGTGAAGCTAAACTAATAAATTATAAAGGCTGATGTGTAACAGCACAGACAGAAACAGATTCATATTTACACTGTGAAATAATGGTAACAGGCTCGGGGGCCGAAGGCGTCTGGGGCCCCGTGTTCGACCCTGTGTTTCAGATAACTGAGAATTTTAGTTTGAAAGTTGCAAAATTGAAAAGCCTTGTCCTTTGTAGTTGTCATTTGAAGTCGTTTCATGTCTCTTTCAGTCTGGAGGGTCTCGCTCTCATGGGGGGGGGGGGTCTGTCTTTGATGAATTTCCAAAGTAAAACTTCCTTGTAACTTGAATTCTTCCTAAAGACAAACACTTTCTGCTGAAGGGTAAATGGAGCTCAGCGGTTGGATGCCGTTCCTTGGTCAGCCATTTTTTTTATTTTGAAAAAAGTTTACCCAGAATTCCTTTCACCACAGCCCGGTTTAGGACAGTCAAGAACTAAACTGCTTTGTGCAACAGGTGAATTTAGACTCAGTCCATCTGGAGTCTGTTATAAGAGTCAGTCAAAGTCTGTCTCTGTGAAACCCCAGAATCTGATTTCTTGACGTCACCATGAAGAAGCAACTGCTGTTTAACCACTGGTCAGCTGCAGAGGAGCAGCTAGGCTAATGGCTAAGCTAACAGGCCATTACATTACACACTCACTTCCTCCCAGTCTTCAGGCAGCGGGGACATTTTCCTGATAAACACGTGTTTGAAATCTGTATTTTCACGTCACACACAGTAACAATGTGATGAGTTCACTGGTCTCTGATTAACGTGGGTTTGTTGAAGCTCCTCTCTGATCAGTGTTTCCTCTGCTGCAGCTGTTTCTGCTTTACATGGTAAAAGGACTGAGTGTCTCTGTAACAAACACATACCAGCAGCAGTCAGTCAGTTTCAGGAAGCAGCTTCAGTCACTGCAGCCACTCTCAGATCATTAAAGATTAACTGAGTGTTTGCTGAGTTCAGGGTCTGGGCCTGAGCTGCTGATATTCGAGCTAATGTTGTTCTGGTTTTCTGTTGTTTCTCCTCTGTCAGAGCTTATCACTGCGTCAGGACTCGGGCTGTTTGTCAGTCGGTTCAGGTTGTAGGTGTCAGTGAACAGTAGGGCTGTTCATCATGGTCGACTGAAATCATCCGCTTCAACCAATCGATTGGTCGCAGGACAAAATCCTCTACAGAGGACTAAGTTCTCTCTACCTGGAAGTTTTATTAGTCTAAATGAATTATTAATAAACTTAAAAAACTAATTATACAGGAATGTATCGGTTCTGATATGTTCACACTCAAAGACTCAAATCTTAAAGCTCCATGTTTCTTCTTCTTCTGTGTTTTATTTGAAGTGTTGATCCATCAGAAGATATAAAAACCATCTCAGTGTAGTTTTACATCTCCTCTCTCAGGCTTCTCTCTGGAGCTCTAGTAACAACAGGTCGGTGAGCCAATCAGAAGAGAGGAGGCTCTGAGCCTCTCTTCTGATTGGCTGACTGTTTTCTGAGTGATCCAATAAAAATAAAGCAGATTTCAGGTGAAAACACTCAGAGAAACCAAATCCTGCAAGGTTTGGATGGTGGGTCCAGGTGGGCGGGGCTTGGTGACTGCTTTGTTGTGACATCACAAAGTTCCAGAAGTCCTGACAGCTGGTTTGGTGCCGACTCATTGGGTAAATGTTGAAGTTAGACCCAGTAAGTTGTGAAAACAGGTAGTCTGTCCTTCCCACTGCTGAAAATAATGTATGAATAATTATGGAAGTAACACTGGTGATTGTCCGACGGATCTCATTGGTCTTATGAAAGGGAGACCAGGAGACCAGGAGACCACGGCCCCAGTCAGGAGTTGAGATGTGGAATAAATCTGATGAGAGAAGAATGCAGCAGCACGAGGTTCAGTCTTATCTGAGGAAATGTGATTTACTGCCTGATAATCAGAGTCAGTTCTTCAGAGTTTGAGGAGGAGGAGGTGAAGAGCTGTGGGAAAAGCTTCAGATTGAGGAG